GTGATTATCAAGATAAAATGATCATTGTGCCACATGCACAAATCAGTCAGATCGTCTACATTTACAGTCATCTGCAGTAGTGTGAGTTAACAACTAATGATTTTTACCACGGAAATTAATAAATTAAAAACTTACTTAAGCTGGACGATTACTTTATTCTAGAGCGAAACCATATTTGTTGCATTTATTTCCTATTGTCACTGTAAAGTTGCTTTGAAACAATCTGTATTGTGAAAAGCGCTATCTACTGTAAATAAAGGAGGCTCGAGTTTATTATTAAAAGTGCATTAAACTGCAAAAGAGATTTTCAGACGCCCAAGCGGTAAAATACACACAAGAATACGCCAAAATGCCCATCTTAGTATTTAGCCTACATAAAAACAGTCAGTTATGTCTTAAAGGGATACTCCACTTTTTTTGGCAATAGGCTCATTTTACATTAAACAACTCCCCCAGAGTTAAACAGTTGAGTTTTACCGTTTTCTAATCCATTCAGCCGATTTTCTGATATTTTGAAGAATATTAGTAACCACACGGTTCCTGGTCTCTTTGACTTCCATAGTAGGAAAATAAATATACTATGGAAGTCAATGAGACCAGAAACTGTCTTGTTACTGATATTCTTCTAAAATTAAGAAAATCGGCTGACTGGATTAGAAAACGGTAAAACTCGACTCTTTAACTCTGGGAGAGTCGTAAAATGAGCCTATTTCCAAAAAAAAAAGTGGAGTATCCCTTTAAGTGAATAAACGTTTGGGAAAGAAATTGGATGTGTGTTATTATATTAGATCCATGCAAATATCGGCTGATGTCTGTCATTAATGTTCAAGACCAGATCGCTCACTGCGTTTGACCGAATAACTTTAGTAGTTTTAAGAATCGAATATGGTGCAAAAGTTGTTTTTTTTACTATGGTTTTTTATTGAACATGTTAAAAAAAAAAAAACAGCAAAAACTGAATAAAAAGTAAAAATAAATAGTTTATCATCAACATCAAGAAAAAAAGATCATCTACAGATCCAAACAACAATCATGTTCAAAGGGGGTAGGAAGAAGTTAGAATAACTTTTCTTGTCCTATCCCCACTTCAATAATATTTTAACTACTTAAACTAACTTACCTAAGGTTTACTTTACCTAAGGTTGAAAAAAGAAAATCACTGTTCCAGCTCATATCCATCAAGGATTCTTTTTTTAAACATATATTTCAATTGCAATAAGTTTTTACATAATTTTAAATCATTGTTGCTACTGTTCCACAGTATAACACCCTGGGTTGGTATACAGTGCAACTTAGTGTTTGTGCGAATCTGCGGTCTACTAAACATTGATATTCCTCTAAAATTATATGTGTTTTCTCGTAATTGGAAAAGCTCTTGGATATTTCTAGGTAATTGGTTGTAATAAGTTGCAAAACTAATATATTATATAGACTCGTTACATGCAAAGTGAGATATTTCAAGCCTTTATTTGCTATAATTTTGATGATTATGGCTTACAGATTATGAAAACCTTTACACAATATTCTCATTATGAATTTGGGTTGGAAGACATAATCATCAAAATTATAAGAAATAAAGGCTTGAAATATCTCACTTTGCATGTAATGAGTCTATATAATATATTTGTTTTTTTTTTTATATTAATGGCTTCAATCAAAACACTGACTATGTGCTTTACCCCATGAATGCCGAAGCAAAGGAACGAACAGCAAATCACGACTATTCACAGTTTGCCATATGATCTGTAACAGACAAAGCATGGTAAAAACACTGTTTGTGTCCAATATAGTCGGCACTGCATCATCTTTTACTTCAGTCTCTCTGAAACCATGTTTTGTTTAAATGCGAATCCACGAATGAAGTGTCGTCCAGAATGGAAATGTAAAGATCATTGTATTCCACAACTTGCCACTTTAAACGTCTTGTAATCCTCTATGGTTTTGTTTGCATCTCTCTCATATTTACTAACACATGTGTGAATGAGTGGGCGGGGCTAAAGAGGCGATGATGTAGAAGTAGGCGTGGATTTTCGTTCCATCATAATGTGACAAAATCCAAAACGAGTCATTTTGTCAGGCTAACAAAGAAGTTTTGAGTATTTTTATAGTACAATGACCTCTTACATGTCAAAAGTTCAAGGAAAATTAGATTTCACAATTCATGACCCCTTTAACAAATGATGCTACACACACTGCTCTATATCAATGTGTCTTTTGTCCACATCTACAGCTGAATAGGACAGACGACCCTCACACACACACACACACACTGGGGCGAGGCTATAAAATCCCTCCTCAGATTCACGGTTCTGGACACTGAGTTAACAAACACACTTGAGTAGGGCTGCAACAACTAATCGATAAAATCGATTATAATCGATTATGAAAATCGTTGTCAACGAATGTCATTATCGATTAGTTGGTCTGATTACGTCACGGGGATTGTTTACATGCTACATGCGCTTCTTACATCCGCTTCATGAGGCACACACGCAGTCTCTCTCCCTCGCCGCTCTACCCTGTCTCGCACGCGCAACACCGACTGTTTGAACGGAGCACATTATCTTCTGTCTCGCGCGCGCAACACGGACGGTTTGGAGCACATATATCTTCTGTCTCGCATGCGCGCTCTTGATTCCGTGAGTTTGAACTAATTTGCGGGCATCAGGAAACCGCTATCAATATGCAGCATACACGAAAATCATTCACCTTTCGGCAAATTCGCCGTTTTGAAACCAAAATAGGTGACCTACGTTAATCTTGTATACTTTATGAAGCCATACTATAGTATAATGTGAGATAGAAATGTATATTTAAGTAATTAAATTAAATTAAGCTTTTCCCTCCACTGCGGCTGTCAGTCATTCTCTATTCGGTGTTCAAACAGCTCGTCGCGTTCGGTTACAACAGTTAACATGATGAAACTCTTTCCAAGATGATTCAATGTTATTATTATAATTGATCCGTAGATAAAGGTCTATGTTTTCGTAATATAATGACTATCTTGCTAGACTTTTATTGCTGTAACTTAATCACTTTCTACTGAGTGTCTGTTAGATCACAACACTAGAGTAGACTCGGCGCACTATAATTGTTCTTCACGTGCACAGCAGCCTAACTGAAATTTAAAACTGTTAAAAGAAAAGGCTTAATAAACTATTGCAAAGATACTGTATAATACACAGTCAATATGTCTTTCTCTTTCCTTGGTGCTTTTAACTTTAATGCGCCGGACACTGAAGAGCTGCGCGCCGCCCTGTGACTCCGTGTTGCTTCAAGCGCATCATTCAGCGCTCGCGATGCGCATACGCACTTTGTGCAGCTCTTTCATGATCATGTCATAATACTTTTGCGCAATAAAAGCTTATTAATAGCCTTTCTTGTTCTGTCCTATCTATTATATTTTGCTTCCTCACTAAACAGCTGTGCTTTACATTTAAAACAGCTGTGCATCTGATTTTTACGATGTTTTTCATGAATGTAACAACAATACAAAGAGCAATGTGCAACGTTTTACCAGAGTTAGTGCTACACTTATTGTCTCTTATTTGTTTCCCACTAAGGAATGTTTTTTTCACTAAATGTTCAGATTTTATAAAATTATTGTGCACTTGTGATATTTTTAGGCTAAGTTTTTCTGAGTTATCCACTAATCTAGTTTACAATAGCATTTTTGTCATAGGTTATGGTCATATATATTTTTTTTTATTTGTTGTTTTTCTTTATAATGAAGTTGTCTGTATTAAGTAGATTGTTTAACACACAAAATAGTGTGCTTTTTAGGGTTTTAGGGTTTTATTTAGTTATAATAAACAAAAAAATGAAATAAATTTTTTATCCGATTAATCGATTAATCGAAAAATAATCGTCCGATTAATCGATTATCAAAATAATCGTTAGTTGCAGCCCTACACTTGAGCTTGCAATCACTTACATCACACTGTAGCCAAGAATACGTCCGAGTTTATTTTTAATATGCATAAACAGCAACAGAACAAATATAACATTATGCAACTCACTAGCGACTAAAGTCCACTCACTGTAAAGAGGAATTTAAGGGCTGGTCAATGACTCAACTAGAGAAATAGCTCCAACACAAACTCACACAACACACACACACAGAGAGCGAGAGAGAGAGATATAATGGTTCAAGAGCAGCTTTATGTCTGGTTTTTGGTTCTTGTGTTTTTTCAGATGTCCATGAAAAAGCAGCATCTTCTCTCTCTTTCTCTCTCACACACACACCTGCTTTTACTTTAGAGACACAAAAACACATTCATGACCTTAAAAGTTTTCACACTCAATAATTCAAATACTGACATTTTTGTTTTTACTTTAAGAAAACTGAAGTAACACAAACTATTACACAGTCAGTGACCAATTGTGTTTTCCTCTCTTGGTGTGTATGTGTATTACTTAAAAGTGTTAACCAAAGAGGAGATGCAAATTAGCATAATGCTATATTCTCTATGCAATGCTTATGTTTCAGCTTTTTGAAAAAATCAAAATCATGTTTTTTAAATCAAAATCAAGTGTTATTGTAGCCTAATAATGTGTGATTGCAAGCAATCCTATCAATTAGAGTGAACAGTAACCACCTTGTTATTTGTTTTTAAAAAAAATAAGAGACTAAAATAAGAACTGTAGTGTAAACTGTTCTCCAAAACAACCACAAACAAATGCAACACAATATTCGTGACTGTGTGAATGAAACAAACGCGCATTAGTGCAACCATGTGTGCAAAACATCCGAATCATTTCCCGAAGCAAGCAATGAATGAATGAACGAATCCACCGAGTCTCCTAAACATAACTTAATCATCCGAATCGAGATGACTAGATCTGATTTAATGATCCGAATCGCGATTCCGCTTGAAACTGATTGCACGCGCGCGCACCGTCGGAACACCGGGAGCTCGTGCACCGGAGATGAAGATACACTCAAAACTCAAAACTCAAACCCACCCCGAAGCAGTTCAAGAAGCCACACACGGTCTTACCGGTTAAACCCCACCGGAGGATGAGTGACAGAATCCGCTGAGCTGCTGAAGTGTGTTGTGTTTGTCTCTCATGATCTGCTCAGTTCAGTGTCACATTACATCCAGCTCTTTCTATTTCCACACACACACCACGGGCGGACGGAAAACACGGAGTGGATTTCACTGATCCAGGATTCTGGCGGAAACCCAATTCAAATACTTCTGGCGCGTCGAGGGGACCCAAATTGCGAAAACTGACAGGTTAACCTGTTTATATATATATAATATATATATATATATATATATATAGTGTTAGTGTGGTTAACCTGTCAGTTTGAAAACGTCGGTCGGTTGCGGGTTGTTTATACATTGACCCGCGCATCACTGGTATATATATATATTTATATATACACACTATATATGTACACGTATATATATATATATATATATATATATATATATATGGATGGAGAGAGAGAGGCCTATATAATTGTAGTATAATTATATAATTGTAAATTATATTAAATTGATATATAAATAATATACATAGTATAGCCTAATAATAAATTTTATATATATATTATATCAAATATTTAAAATACATGTAGCTACCGTTCAAAAGTTTGGGATCAGTAAGTATTGCTAATATTTTTTAAATGTCTCTTCTGCTCACCAAAGCTATATTTATTAGTCAATAAATACAGTAAAATGGTGAAATATTATTACAATGTAAATCATCTGTTTTCTATGTGAATATATAGTAAAGTGTAATTTATTCAGCATCATTACTCCAGTCTTCAGTGTCACATGACCCTTCACAAATCACTCTAATATGAGGATCTGACGCTCAAGAAACATTTATGATTATTATCAATGTTGTGCACATTTGTTCAGGATTGTTTGATTGAATATAAAGTTCATTAAAAAAACAGCTTTTATTTCAAATAGAAGGCTTTTGTAACATATATACACAACCATTAGTTTTTTTTTTTTCCTTATTATGAGATATGGTTAAGGGTGTGTGTCTGTCTACTGTGATGTTTTACAGGCTGAAGTGAGTGATCCTCGCATCGCTCCGGACTCCGTGTTTTGCGGCTCCCCGGAGAAAAGCTCAGAGTAACAAAGAACATATTTGAGATCCGCGGCAGCAAGCGGCCTGACTGGGCGTGACGTCAGCGAGCCACACACACACACACACACACACACAGACACACACACTCACGTTGTGCTTTCATGTTTTATGGGGACTTCTTATAGACATAATGATTTTTATACTGTACAAACTGTATATTATGTCCCCATACACTAACCTGACCCCTAAACCTACCCATCACACACACTAACCCGACCCCTATACATACCCATCACACACACACACACGTTTCCAGCCACTATGTGCACGTGTGTGTATGAAAGACGGGACTGAACAATAAGGGTCATGAGTTGGGTTAAAGGTCACGATCTGCATTGATTTCTGCCCGTCTCCACTTATCTGCACACGCAGCCTTTCTGCTATCTTCACATATGCAAATACACACATGTCTGTGGGCCTGGGGGTGTTACGGACAGGCACACACACACACACACCGAACGACTTCCTCGGCCCGTCGGAAGACGTGAGACGCGTTCGAACTGTTCACACTGTTTTCTGGATTTAAGCAGGAGGTTTCACTAATGCTTCCAGTTGAATCATGCATAATTAAGCTTAAAAGAAAAGTTGACCACTGAAAATTAACTCGCCCTCATTTTGGCTTTCTTTCTTTTGTCTTTTAGAGCAGAATGAGATCCAACGACAGACTTTCAAACAAAAAAGTATGTTCATGACTTCATGATTTCAAGACTATTGCTTCCTTTAACGTCCACGTTCTGCTTAACATCTCATTTCACGTTTCACAGGAGAAATCACACCGAGAAAACGCTCATTTTTAGGTGAACTATCCCTTTAAATGCCTTGGTCTGATCTGAAGTGTGTGTATACACAGCAGATTAACATCTGATTTGCATGCAGATTCACTTTTAGAAGCACTTTTATTCGTGTAGTTACGCTCAGGTGTGGCCGAGCAGATTCAAACATGTGGGTTCATCAGAGGGTCATTTAATCACGTGAGCCCATGAATTAAATGTCAGAGCCGCACACTGAAGCCGATAGCATGCAAATACACACTCATGTTTCCTCTTCTGCTGTTTTTTATGCTCCTGATCTCACAGATTGCCGTGTGCTAGAACATAAACGGCGTTATGAATATTATCACATGCAGGAGTGCTGAGCTAATGAGCAATAAAGTGCCACACACACACACCACAGGAAACAGAATCTGATGCCTTCCTCTGGTGCTCCATGTGCTGAGCTTTGATTGGCTGCTGACAGAGCGACATCATGAAGATAACGATGCTGAACCACTTCTGCACACTGACCCTTCAGAAACCACAGATCCAATCATGTTTAAGACACTATGGCGGCTACATAAAAAATAGGCCCATTCAGACCCATTGTTTAAAAAACAAAAGGTACATTTTTGTTACAACAAAAGTTATTTTTTTTTAAATATTAAATGAGTGAAATTACTAAAATTGTAATTAATGTATGTGATGGATTTTGCCTTTCCAAATAAAAAGATATATATAAATGAGTGAAGCAGTTGCAATTGCTATATTCAATTTATACAGAAAATGTGTGTTTTTATTAGGGCTGTCAAACGATTAATCGCATCCAAATTAAAAGTTTGTGTTTACATAATATATGTGGGTGCACTGTGTATAATTATTTTACATATATATATGAATACACACACATGCTTGTATATATTTAAGAAATATTTTCATATATATTCTGTATATAGATTTATATATAATTTATAATAATAAGAATAATAAATAACAAATAATAAATGTATTATTATATATAATTTTTATAATTATTTTTACGTTATATATATATATATATATATATATATATATATAATTAGATATAATTTATATTATATAAATATATTGTATATAAATATTATTTTTTTCTTAAATATTCATGCATTTGTATTTATATATATACAAAATAATTATACACAGTGCACCCACATATATTATGTAAACACAAACTTTTATTTTGGATGCGATTAATCGTTCGCCAGCCCTAGTTTTTAGTTTATTATGTGCAGTGATTTGTATTATCCAAAGTAGATTTCCTTTATGAACCCTAATTACATTCTAATAATCACTAGTATAATGGACACTGACATAACGCGTATATGATTATCTTAATTAAGCATAAATCCCGAGTGATTCTCCAGCTCCCGGGTTGTTCAGCTTCAGGACACACAGATTAACACACACTGACTAAAGCTTAAACGCTAACATATGCCAGTGACTCTTCACACACTGACCTTAATCTGCTGGACAGGATTGGTGTCCTTCAGTAATGACATTAGCTGAAACACACACAGGTGTCTAGGTCATGTTTTGTGATATATATATATATTTGAATGCATGTACTGTAATCATGATGCATTACATAAATACAAGCATGTTTTGTGCAATAGCATCATTGTTTATTAAAATTAAAGTTGATTCATTTAAACTATTTATAATAGAATAGTTATTTTCTCATGCACATCGATTCAAAGCAGCTACTTTACAAAAATACTGTATTAATAATGTCTTAAATATTATTTTTTATATCTTGACTTGTGCCATATTAAAAATAAAATGTATAGTGTACAAAAACCTAATTTTATCAAATTTGCTTTTTGAGTATTTGCTGCTCTAGTTATTGGAAAAGACTACAAGATATTGAGTTTTTTTTTTTTTTTTTTGCAGTGAAATGTCGATGCATGTGTTGCTGTAAAGCATTCGGCACTGTATTGCTGTCTGAAAACATCATTAGTTACTTCACAAACACACACACACACACACACACACACACATCATTATATGCTCATGCTTACAACACATTTTATTCATTCATCATTTCATCCTAAGAACAGGATTTGCTCAAAGATCAAACCCAAACAAGACTTGCAAGGCTCTCGAAAACCAACAACCAAGTATGAAAAAACTAGCCTTAAAACATTCTCCTTATACAGTTTCAATATGTGTTTACAATGAATCATTATACGATGATGATGGATAAAAGCACATTACAGTAATGAGACTCGCCGTGTGAGCTGTTAACTTAATCCAGCTTTACTGAAAATAAGGTAGAATAGATCCTATTTTTATATATATATATATATATATATATATATATATATATATTACTAAATGTAATTATGAACACACAATGACCTGTTTCTTAAACAAGAAGCGAAATTACGACAGAATTGCAGGCTGCAGGTGTTCAATAGTGTCAAACAGAGTTTGTTTATAAAAATCAGATACTTAAATAAATTAAAAACATCTCCTTAGCTTTTCGGTGCTCATCATTAGTCTCATAGAAAATAATTCTAAAATGTTCATGAACTGTATCTTCGGGTTTATAACTTAAAGAGCAGTGACATCTAGTGGCCGTCTCTAAAAATGCAAACGTCCACTACCACGTCGCTTAAAACCGTTCATAGGGGGAGCGAGCCCCGAATGTTTTGTCAAAAGCCCCGAATCTTTTAGGTTTTTAAAAATAAATATAACGTGTTTTCATTTTTTCTCAGTCTTTCTGGCTGGAGCGGCAAAAAATGTAAACAAAATCTCTATTACCGTGCGTTTATGCGGACAGTAACGCGTCAGGTGTCCACCATCAAACAAACCAAATGTTTGTAAGTTTGTGTGGGACAATGTGAGACATGTTAAAACATACCCTGAAACTGTTAAATAATGTTTATCTATATATATATATATATATATATATATATATATATATATAAATTGTAATCTGCCTTTCAGCTGATAAAAATGCTTTGTTCACGAGTCCCTTCCAGAAAAAAAATCTTTATTTTACATGGCATTTAAATTCAACATCACTGAGCCCAAAGGCAGCAGGCATCACGATTAGGCTACTATTTTAGAAACAGTTCTGACCAAGTTCAACTAAAACACGACAAAAATAAACAATGAACAAATAAATACAAAACAACATGAAATTAGACAGTCTTATTATATGTATTAAGAATATATTAAAAACCAAAACCGTTCGTATTTTAGAAAGGA